ACTGAAAACACAAAGCTCATTCAAGAAGTGCAAGAACAAGTGTAACTAGCTCACTGTTAGTTGCTGCTGGTTAGGGGAAAGGAATGATTTTAAAACAGCAACAAAAAAAGAACCACCCTGAAAAATTAAGGCTGGGGCCCAAGTATAAACCATGCAAACAAGTTTGGATTTTATTCTCCAGCTACAGGACGCCACAGTAAACTTTTAAACAAAGGAGTCAGGATATTTGAGAAATCCCTGGCAATGGGATATAAAATGGAGGGGGGGTGGCCACCCAAAGCACAAGGATATCCACAGGTGCCTCCTGTTACAGGGTCTAAGCAAGGACAGGGGGCCTGGAGCAGACCGGAGGTGTGGGCACAAGAGCAGTTCACTAGGGTTTAGTTGCCACCGAGTGCTGAGGAGGGCTTTCTGAGCCAATGCAAAGGGTGAGAAATAATCCTGAGGCACCAGCCAGCTGCTGTTAATAACTCAAAGAAAAGAAGCAGGAGAAACATATTCCAGGGTGGGGAGGGGCAGAAGGGTCAAGTGTGGGACGGACTGGATGGGCTGCGCTGAGGCGGGCACCCAGCAAAGAGCCGGGGCTGGAGAGACGGATCAGGAACACGTGACAGCCAGAACCTGTACATGGACGGGCTATGGAGGGCCACTGAATTTCAACCAAGTGTATATCTTTCCCCACTTGAACTACCTCTTTTGCCTTTTTTTTAAAGCTAGGCATCACCCACTTTCCCATATCCTAAATCACCTCTTTTCTCCTTGTTAAACTCATTCCATAACTACATTTTATTCCAGAAAACAGGACTGAGGCAGTGTATCACACCATACAACATTATTTTAAAAGGTCCACCAAACCAAAAGGAAAGCTGTGTCTTCCAAGACCACTGATTCCTGGAGAAAACAAACAAAACATCCTTGATGAAATAAAAATTCATATTTTAAGGCAAGACAAGAAAAATTTAAACATAAAATTTTTCTCTGCCCATTTGGCCTCCTCCCTCCCCTCTGGCATGCATGGCGCATCTGCATTATGTGTTAAGCAGACCTCCCCAATGACAGAAATACCTGCTCAACCATAAAGATCAATTTTTCTTCTTCTGGAGCCAACCATGTAACTCCTTTCCCAATCCTGTCAGGGGTCACAATGACCCACCACTCACTCACCTTGCACTTGAAGACATCTTTGGTGAACTTCACATACAATGCCAGTATATTATTTCCCTTAAAGACAGCAGCTGGCCCAGAACAGACTGGTCAGATGACCTGGGGTGATACTGGGCCAAACCTAATGGAAGTTCTTAGCTTAAATACTTACTTATGATCTTATTAATGTCACTAGCTATATTACCAGTATTCTGCCTATTTTACAAGATTACTGTTTCTTGCATTACCAAGTGTGTGACTAAGCCTCCAATAAAATTGATGATTAGCCAACTTGAAATGATTGACCAAACTTACAGTTCTATAAGACCAACGATTATAATAGTATAGCTCTAGATATGAGAAGAAGCAACAAGAAGGAACCTTTGGGGTTTCCCTGGTGGCGCAGCGGTTAAGAAACCACCCGCCAATGCAGGGGACACAGGTCCGAGCCCTGGTCCGGGAAGATCCCACATGCCGCGGAGCAAGTAAGCCCGTGCGCCACAACTACTGAGCCTGCGCTCTAGAGCCCGCGAGCCACAACTACTGAGTCCGTGTGCCACAACTACTGAAGCCTGCGTGCCTAGAGCCCGTGCTCTGCAATAAGAGAAGCCACAGCAACGAGAAGCCCGCGAACCGCAATGAAGAGTAGCCCCTGCTCGCCACAACTAGAGAAAGCCTGTGCACAGCAATAAAGACCCAATGCAGCCAAAAATAAATAATTAAAAAAAAATTTTTTTTAAAAAAAGGAAACTTTTCCTGGAGCATAACAGACTACTAAGATAGGTGGTCCAGAGGCTTTTCGCTACTGTTAACAGGGCCTATCAACAAAATCCTCCCCTGACCTGGGAATGAGCATTCTTAACGCAGTGGGACAGACTGGCCACGAAATGCCTCCCAAACCTTGGTTGAAATTACAACCGAAAGGGAAGGGACTGCAGAATAAAGAATCCTGCCCACTATCCAGTTCAACAAGAATCAAATCATTAGCCACTGTAGTCGCTGACTTACAATATACACCCTGAAAGGAATTCAGGGCAAAGATCAGGAAGAAGTACTCTGTGCCCTCAGAAAAATGACAGAACTGACCCTCAGAGAGATATTATATTCTCTGCAGAAATTTTTTATTCTTGCACCTTCCCACACTTAGAAAGGCACTAAGAGCATTAACTAAGAAGTCATTCCTCATGACTAGCAGCCACCTTCTGCTGAGATGTGAGCTCGACTGCACGCACCCCCTGTGCAACAATCACATATATTTGAGCCTCCCCCTTTACCTCTTCAGAACAGTTCTCAGAGCTCTCTGAGAGGCTGTCTCCGGGTTATAATCCTCAGTCTGACTTGAACAAAATTTTCCATTTCTTTCTTAGATTGACTACCGATTAGTTTTTTCATCGGCATCCTCAAAGCTTTTAGAATGTCAGGTTTGAGCAAAAACACAAAGGTTTATCTAATGAGTGACACTCCCCAGAAAAGCACCTCAAAAACATCTTACAGCTGGATCCAGGGTATCCGAAACGTTTTCATAGGCAACAGGCAAGAGCACTGGAGTAGGAGGTGGGTTCAAGAGACCTGGCAGCTCACTGTGATGTCAGCACAGAGCCACTGACCTCAGGCAAGTCACTGCCCCTCTACGTTTTCCACTTTACAGCTGGACGACCTGAAGATCACATGGCCTCGGATGATCTTCTCACTGAGAATTTTCAGGCCTAACTAAATGTGATAGTTTGGGAGACAGTTTCATTTCAGGGAAAAAAAAAAGGTTTCATTAAGCAATTCTTTGGTTTTCTTTTCTCTTTCTACCTTTATGATTCTCACTGCTCCTAGGCATATCTGTAAGAGAGGCCACAGGCACAAAAAGAAAGTGAAGCTCAGTTAACTTTGCTGCATTTGCGGCTCTGGCGAAGCACTGGGCAGAGAAAAGGAATCAAATGACTACAACTGGATTTGGGGCTTAACGGTGGCAGCCAGCCAGCCAGCCAGTTTCTAGATACTGCACTCAACCTGGTCAACCAGTTACAAGAAAATTAGCAGAAAAAGAAAACATTTTTTTTTTTTTTTTTTTGCGGTACGCGGACCTCTCACTGCTGTGGCCTCTCCCGCTGCGGAGCACAGGCTCCGGACGCGCAGGCTCAGCGGCCATGGCTCACGGGCCCAGCCGCTCCGCGGCATGTGGGATCTTCCCGGACCGGGGCACGAACCCGCGTCCCCTGCATCGGCAAGCGGACTCTCAACCACTGCGCCACCAAGGAAGCCCAAGAAAACATATTTTTAAAGGTCTCAATAGAAGTAAGCCCACTAAATGTTAAGTGATCATCTCATGGGAGCAGGATGGACAAAAACCAAGTTTATCTTTTGCTGTTAAGTCTGAATACATATACGCTTACTTTTTTTGTAATTTAAACTTATGATTAGTTTTTTTAAGCTTAAAAGAGGGGGGGAATTCTTTCTACCTCACTCTTAGTTATTTTTTGAGCCACACATCCTAACTTTGGCTGGTCACACACCTTAATGTCTGAGCGGTTAGCGGGGAACTAACAAACGTCACCCCTTCACCGCTAACAAATGTCTCTTTCAGTGGGAAAAACCTAATCATGGACTTGAAGAACTAAAAGTAAGTCACCAAGTGATTTTTTTAAGCCAGCCAAAACATCCCTCCTTCATTCAAGGCCCTAAACCCAAAGGGACTTGCTAGACACAGTTTAAGCTTCTGGACAAAATGTACTTTGTGATTGAACAGTACTGTTCTCCTTAGAAGAGACCTGTTTTGCCACGAAAGCGGCATGTTTTCAACAGCCTGCCTTCTGGAGGGTCTTCGGGGGCCCGTTTCACGGGATTTGGCCTGGATTTCACAAAGGCTCCTGAAAGGTGGCTTCGCGGGTCGCAGAGCCCCCGGCCCCGCCCCCGACCTCAGACTCCGCCCCCGGCCAGCGTCACCCGACCGCGTCCGCGAAGCCCTCCCTCCCTCCCTCCCTCACGCCCGCCCCGGCGCGCCGCCGACACCGACCTGATGACACTGATGTGGAACTGGTCCTCGCGAAGGCCCCGCCAGGCGCCGGACAGGAACTCCTTGCACCACAGATAGGCCCTGCGCCGCGTCCTGGGCTCGGGCTGATCGTCGGCCGGCGGCGGCGGGGGCAGCGGCAGCGGCGGCGGCGGCGGCGGGGGCAGCGCGAGCTGCGGCTGCCGCCCGCCCAACTGCTTGGGCTCGAGGTCACTGGCGGCGTCGCGCTGCTGCCCCACGCCGGGCGCCGGGGTCGCGCTGCCGCTGCCGCAGCTCAGCAACAGCCCGAGCGGCGAGGGCTCCGCCTCGCTCCCGTTGCAGAACTTGGTCTTCATGCCGGGCAGGCGGCCGAGGAGGCGCGGTCGGCCGCAACACGAGAGCGCGAGGCTCAGGATCCGGCTAGACGCCCCTCTCACGGAGACCGGGCGCGGAGGCCGCTCGCCCGCTCGCTGACGGGCAGGCCGGGGGCGGCGGCGGTTGGGGGGCCGGCGGGCGGTCGCGGGGCGGCGGCGGCGGTGGCGGCGGTGGCGTGGAGGCGGCGAGCGGCGGGCGACGGCGGCAAGCGGCTGATTCCGCTGGCCGTGGCGCTCGCTCCTGTACTGCCGCCGCACGAGGAGCGCCGTCCGCGTCACAGCCCGCCCTCGCGCTCGCCGCTGATTGGCCGCCGTCCGTCGGCCTGGCGCATCACAACCGCCTCCCCCCTCGCCACGCCGCCTCCCCATTGGCTGCGGCAGCACACGGCCTCCCCCCGCCGTCTCGTTTCCTGCGGCCTCGGGAGGCGGGGCCTCGAGGGGGCGGAGCGTCGAGCCGGTGCGGGGGTCGCGAGGATGGAGAAAGCTAGCGAGGTGGGGGCGGGCGGGCTCCCCGAGTGGGGGCGGGGGCTGCGCGGCCCTTGAACCTTGGGGGAGCCAGAACTTGGCTTTGGTGGCTGAAACTTTGTTTGACCCCTTGAATCCTGCAGGACATCAGAGGCCGGGGCCAGGCAGCGGGCAGTTAGGAAGCCGGTCCCTGGAGGCTGGCTTCTCTTTCCGCATGACCTTGGGGCGAGGCACCTCCTTCTGCAGCTCCGTGCGTGTGTTTTTATAACACTTCCCAGCGCCGGCTCAGCTCCCTGCGAGGCGCGGCCACGCCCCGTCCAAGCTGGAGCCTGAGAAATTATTGTCCCCGGGTCACAAACCGAGGCCCGAAAGGGGGAAGAAGCGACTGGTTCAAGGCCGCACAGCTGGCCGCGGAGCCCTCTGAAGCCTCCTGCAGCCTCAGTTTCCCTGTCCGTGGTGCTGAGGATGCCAGGGCCTAGAGGGTCGGGGCGGGCGGAGCGGCATCCCCGCAGCCGCCCTGAGTACTGGCCAAAGGTGAGTGCCACGGGGCTGGTGGCTTTGTGGGTGCCGCCCCGCCCCCCCCCACGCTGGAGGCAGCCCCGTGACTGTGACTAACGCACCTTTGCCCGCGGAGGGGAGGCAAGGGCCCCTGCTCGCATTTACCACATTTACTGCCCCATGTCCCTCACTCCTCTCACCCCGCCGCCCCAATCCTTTCCGAAAGCATTTGGAGTATGGATAAATTTTTAAATTACAGATCCTGTTTTTACCGGGCATGAGCTGGGACAAGAGGGTTCTCTGGCTGCTTAGGAAATTCAGCGCCTGGCTTGCAGGAAATGGCTTCTACGTGGGGATTTCACAGTCTTCGGGAAGAAAACATCTCTCTTTAGCAGTGTGCACTTGGCTGAACTTGCTCCAAGAAAAATGCGCTCATTGAACAAAAGGATTATGATGAAAGGGGGCTTTTGTCAAGGCAGCTGTGGAGGTGGGCCTGAACATTGAACTGGAGGGAGCTGGGAGCCATCCAGCATGGAGGAGGGGGCAGAGTAGGAGTCCCATTGGATGTTGGAAAAGCTGAGAAAGCAAGGTCTCCAGTCAGGCCATTTAGATAAGGGAGCCAAGGACTTTGTCTAAAAATACCAGCCCTCAGATGGTGGGGCTGTGTCTACGGTCTGCCCAGGTGACAGGCCTTTATCCCAGTGTCCCGTGACAGCAGCCTGGTAATCCCAGAGGAACGCCAGAAACCTGGCCAGGAGGAAGGGGCACAGGAAGTAAGGGTTGAGCCTCTGTCATTTCAAGCCTGGTTTAGGCTACTAGAACCCACAGACCCCTTTATGGGATCGCAGTTCCCTGTGGGAATAAAAAATTGCCTAATTAAAAATGTTGTAAAGTTATATCTGTTACTGCTTCCATTTAATGGATATGAAGACTGAGTCCTGCGGAGGCTGAACAACTCAGGTGAGGCCCCTTGGCTAAGGTGAGGAGCCAGGCAGGTGACCTGGCTCCTTTGTGTGAAGAGCACCGTGTCCATATGGACAAAACTTCCCTCCCCTACAGTCAAACTAAAGTCCTGGACTTAGCTCTCAATGGCCCATCCTTTGGCCTGGCCAGTCAGGGCCCACCCTTAGCACCGGCGTGATCAATTCCATGCAACACCTCCGAAGCAGAAACTGAGGAGCTTGGCGTATAGTAATGCTAAAATATTAGGTTTTACATTAGGGGTGTTTGAGCTAGTTGAGAAGGCATCTCTACCAGGCAGTCAGGAGCCTCAGGCTGCTTACCTCTGCAAGGGGCATAATAATATCAACTTTCCAGAGTCATCTGTGATGGTGTATACGGCACACGGTAGGTGCTCAGGAGAAGTGCCAGGCATATCACCAGCCGAAGGAGAAATCCAGAAAGGTAAATATGCCCATGACCCTTGAGGTAGCAACCCCGTTCTCAAGACTGCCGCCCAAGAAAAGAAGTCATCGACAGCAAAAAGCCCTGTGCATAAAACCGGCCATCACCGTGTTCTCTCACTGAAGAAAGCTGGAAATAACCTAAATGTTTGTCTAGTGCCCTGGACTGGGCTAGAAAGGATGTTGGTGTTATCAGACAGCAGTGAAGTTGGTAAGCAGGTTCATTTTCCACACATTTCTCAAGTGCCTTCAGTGTGCCAGCCAGAGGACTTGGCAGTACTGGGCAGTGAGGAAACCAGCTATGCCTGGCCCCTGCTCCAATCTGGACTAGCAGTACTGCCCACCCCACGCCACCCTCTCCCTCTCCCCTCACCCTTGTTAGTTGCTCTATTGTGTATTGTCTGTGTCCCCACCGGACTGCAACCTCCAGGAGAGCAGGGACCTAAGTGTCTTGTTCTCCATCACAGTGCCCAGCAGGCCTTGAGGTTTGTAGGCCCTCGGAAGTATTTGCTGAACCAATGAAGTTCTGGCTCAGCACTTCCTAACTGTATGACTCGGTTGAGCCTCAGTTTCCTCAGCTGTAACACGGGGGTTGTAATCCGCAGGGCACAGGGTCGTTGTGAGGGAGAGCGAGAGGACGTACAGGAAGTGTGCGGTGAGCAGGACCCCCCGCCCCGTATTCTTGTTACGTGCAACGTGCTGCATGGCGTGGCTTCTCGGCCAGCAACTGGCATTCGGCGATGAATAATGCACACACTTGAAGCAACTCAGCCTCGGAAGACAATGTCATATGAGAAAAGAATGCAAACTGGAATGTACGTTCTGATGACCAAAATGTGATCATTTGTGCACAGCTGGACAAAGCTTGGAGAGAAATTTGCTATGGCAGCCACTGGTGCTGGAGAGAGTGTGTTCCAAGTGTAAAATCTTTTCTTCTAGGACATCGGAAAAAATTGTCCAAAAGCTCCTTGATGCTGAATTCTGAGAGCAGACACACGGTGTGGGTGATGTGCCTTGGACAGATTAGAGGCGGGAGATTAGGGGGTCCCTGTCCAGTCTCTGACATTCCTGCAGACTGGTTCCTCTGGTCTGGCCTGAGGAACCTGGCAGAGGAGTCACCATGGCCACTGGGCAGACCAGGGGCCTCCCCCAAGGAACAAAGGGATCCACTCAGGGGCCCCAGCCCTGCCACCAGCTCCAGCTGCAAGGCCTGCAAGGCTTCGTGCGTCTACCTCCTCTCAAAAGAGAGGAGCCACTTGTCAAGCACTTGGTAGGAGCGGGCCCTGTGCAAGCGCCTTACTTGTATCCAGCATCTTTGAACTTTCACTGCCAGCAGTGTGGTGAGTGTAATTAGCACCTCGTCTCTCAGGTGAGAATGGTTTACCAGGAGGTAAAACCATTTGTCCAAGGCAGGCAGCTAGTAAGGACAGGACCCAGGACCCACCCAGGACTCTGCTCTCTGAATGTAGGAGAACCCCATCCTTCTGCACCAAAAACACCTTTGACCCAGAAAGTCCAAGGCACTTGGCACAGTGGGAGTTCCCTAGAGGGCTGGAGAAGGACAGCCCTGTGTCTGTGGACAGGTGGGACTTTTCCATTCTTTGAGGCTCCTAGCACTTTCAAAAATGAAGAAATGCAGGCATAACTTTTTTTATTGCTCCTCACAAATACATTTTTTCCAAATGGAAGGTTTGTGGCAACCCTGCATAGAGCAAGTCCATTGGTAGCATTTTTCCAACAGCATTTGTTCACTTCATGTCTGTGTCACGTTTTGGTAATGTTGGCAGTATTTCAAACTTTTATTATATTTGCCACTGTGATCTGTGATCAGTGATCTTTGATGTTTTGGTGGACAAAAAATATTGCCCGCTATTTCAGTAAGGACAGCTGTGCTCACCACCCCCTCCCAGGCTACACTCAAGACCCGGCACCCCAACTTCAGCTCTGAGCCTTAAAATATTAATGTGAGCTCAGAGAGATCAATGGACTGAAATCCTACCTGCTCAAGGTTGGGTTACAAAGCAGAAACACAGATGTAGAGAACAAACGTATGGACACCAAGCGGGTGTGGGGGAGGTGAATTGGGAGATTGGGATTGACATATATATACTTATATGTATAAAATAGATAACTAATAAGAACCTGCTGTATAAAAAAAAATACGAAAAAAAAAAAGATTGGGTTACAGCCCTGCCAGCAGTGTGACATGGAACTGGGCCCCTTCACTCAGTGCCTGGGTTTGGCCCCAGTCCAGGATGCTCTGTCAGCTAGAGACTTGGCAGGCCAGCAGCTTCCAGAGGTCTCAGCCTTTCTCAGAGGCATCCTTCTACCATACACCTAGCCTCAATGCTTCAAGGCCACAGGTAGGACCTAGGGCCCAGAGAGTTTAATGAAAGCAGGTGACTTGTATGCCCATGCGTCCAGTGGATGGGACAGGCCCTCGCCCCATACCCCATATGCAGGTATCCTGAGTATATAGCATTAGACATAAAAACCTGTCTTTGGAACTTTTGCCTCCACCAACTGTGTGACCTAGGACAAGTTACCTACCCCTCTATACCAGATGGAGATAATTGTTCCTACCCTACAAGTTTGTTGGGGGCAGTCACGGAAGCCAGCAGGGAAAGGGCTGGGCTCAAAGTCAAGGACACACAAAGGGTAGCTGTGCCCTTCTACTGATTGTTCTCTGGATTCCCAGAGACTGGCAGAGAGCAGCCATCCTCTGTTAGTAAGAGTGGCCCTGCAGCAACTCATCCCAAGTACCATGAGGGAAGCAAAGCCTGCAGGAACTCTGGCGATGCAGGGCCTCCCAGAAGTCTACCAGGGCCTGGGGACTTTTCCATTCTTTGAGGCTCCTAGCACTTTCAAAAATGAAGAAATGCAGGCATAACTTGTTTTATTGCTCTTCACAAATACATTTTTTCCAAATGGAAGGTTTGTGGCAACCCTGCATGGAGCAAGTCTATTGGTAGCATTTTTCCAACAGCATTTGTTCACTTCATGTCTGTGTCACGTTTTGGTAATCTTGGCAATATTTCAAACTTTTATTATTATTATTATATTTGCCACTGTGATCTGTGATCAGTGATCTTTGATGTTTTTGTGGACAAAAAATATTGCCCGCTATTTCAGTAAAAAACAAATGTTGTGGCCATCAAGCCATCAACCACTACAGCCGTCCCCTTGCATCGCACTGTGAGGGGAATTCAGGATGGAGAATAACAGGCTACTGGCCTTAGATAGCTAAGATGCCCGTCAAAGGAATGATTTCAACAAGCCCAGTCTCTTGCATCTTCCCACACAGAGAAAAGCACTAAAATCGTTAACTTGAGATTTATTATATTTGCCACTGTGATCTGTGATCAGTGATCTTTGATGTTTTGGTGGACAAAAAATATTGCCCGCTATTTCAGTAAGGACAGCTGTGCTCACCACCCCCTCCCAGGCTACACTCAAGACCCGGCACCCCAACTTCAGCTCTGAGCCTTAAAATATTAATGTGAGCTCAGAGAGATCAATGGACTGAAATCCTACCTGCTCAAGGTTGGGTTACAAAGCAGAAACACAGATGTAGAGAACAAACGTATGGACACCAAGCGGGTGTGGGGGAGGTGAATTGGGAGATTGGGATTGACATATATATACTTATATGTATAAAATAGATAACTAATAAGAACCTGCTGTATAAAAAAAAATACGAAAAAAAAAAAGATTGGGTTACAGCCCTGCCAGCAGTGTGACATGGAACTGGGCCCCTTCACTCAGTGCCTGGGTTTGGCCCCAGTCCAGGATGCTCTGTCAGCTAGAGACTTGGCAGGCCAGCAGCTTCCAGAGGTCTCAGCCTTTCTCAGAGGCATCCTTCTACCATACACCTAGCCTCAATGCTTCAAGGCCACAGGTAGGACCTAGGGCCCAGAGAGTTTAATGAAAGCAGGTGACTTGTATGCCCATGCGTCCAGTGGATGGGACAGGCCCTCGCCCCATACCCCATATGCAGGTATCCTGAGTATATAGCATTAGACATAAAAACCTGTCTTTGGAACTTTTGCCTCCACCAACTGTGTGACCTAGGACAAGTTACCTACCCCTCTATACCAGATGGAGATAATTGTTCCTACCCTACAAGTTTGTTGGGGGCAGTCACGGAAGCCAGCAGGGAAAGGGCTGGGCTCAAAGTCAAGGACACACAAAGGGTAGCTGTGCCCTTCTACTGATTGTTCTCTGGATTCCCAGAGACTGGCAGAGAGCAGCCATCCTCTGTTAGTAAGAGTGGCCCTGCAGCAACTCATCCCAAGTACCATGAGGGAAGCAAAGCCTGCAGGAACTCTGGCGATGCAGGGCCTCCCAGAAGTCTACCAGGGCCTGGGGACTTTTCCATTCTTTGAGGCTCCTAGCACTTTCAAAAATGAAGAAATGCAGGCATAACTTGTTTTATTGCTCTTCACAAATACATTTTTTCCAAATGGAAGGTTTGTGGCAACCCTGCATGGAGCAAGTCTATTGGTAGCATTTTTCCAACAGCATTTGTTCACTTCATGTCTGTGTCACGTTTTGGTAATCTTGGCAATATTTCAAACTTTTATTATTATTATTATATTTGCCACTGTGATCTGTGATCAGTGATCTTTGATGTTTTTGTGGACAAAAAATATTGCCCGCTATTTCAGTAAAAAACAAATGTTGTGGCCATCAAGCCATCAACCACTACAGCCGTCCCCTTGCATCGCACTGTGAGGGGAATTCAGGATGGAGAATAACAGGCTACTGGCCTTAGATAGCTAAGATGCCCGTCAAAGGAATGATTTCAACAAGCCCAGTCTCTTGCATCTTCCCACACAGAGAAAAGCACTAAAATCGTTAACTTGAGATGCCTGGTTTTTGTGATTAGCAGTAATCTTTTGATGTTTGACTATAAGTTTGTTTTTTTTTTTCCCCAACAAAAAAATCCTATATATCCTGGCTCCTTCCTTACCTCTTTGGAATGTTTCCTCAGAGCTATCTGAGAGGCTGTTTCCCAGACTGTAGTCGTCAGAAGGTCCCCAAATGAAACATAACTCAGCTCTTAGGTTGTGCATTTTTTCAGTTGACCTTATACTGCAAAAAGATTACCGCTCAGAGAAGGCTCAGATGATGGTTAGCATTTTCTAGCAATAAAGTATTTTTAAAAGTATGTGGATGAAGAATGTCACCTGCCATATTAGTGAACAAAGGATGTTGTGGCTGTCAAACCATCAGCCATTGCAGCTGCACCCAACCGTGCACTCTGAGGGGATTCAGGATGGGAAAGAATAGGATGCTGGCCCTAGGTGCATATCAAAGAAATTACTTCAGCGAGCCCAGACTCTTACATCTTCCCGTACACAGAAAAGCGCCAAAATCATTAACTTGAGATGTCTGATTTTCTTTAATTAACAGTAATCCTTTAATGTTCTGACTACCTGGTTTTTGTTGCAGAAATCCCTATATATCCTGGTTCCTCCCTTACTTCTTTGGAGCAATTCCTCCAAGCTGTCAGAATGTCCTCCCAATAAAACGTAATTCTCAACTTTTAAGCTGTGCGTTTTTTTTCAGTTGACAGGGTGTACACTGTTATTTTAGACATAATGCTACTGCACACTTAATAGACTACAGTATACTGTAAACATAACTTTTATATGCACTAGGAAACCAAAAAATTCATGTGACTCGCTTTATTGCGATATTCGCTTTATTGAGGTGGTCTGGAACCCAACCTGCAATATTTCCAAGGCATGCTGGTACCTCAACATAATTATCAAAACTGGGGCATATTTGAAACACTGAATTTGAACGAATCAATGCTTTTAACACATATGCAAAGGGTCCTATACAAGATAATTTTACTGTTCACAAGCTAATAGCAGAATTAATCAAAAATAATTATGGTTTTGGGGGAGCACTGAAGTGGTACGGTGTGAAGAACGTTTTCAAGCCTGACCGTGTCTCTCTGATTATCCTTATTTAGAAATGACACCAGAAATCTAAATCTGAGGCCCTAGGGCACAGGAGGCCCTCCTGGGGCCCCAGTGGTAGACCCTGATAACGACTGTCCATCACTGTCCTGCAGTGATCCCTGGGGCACCCCTGAGTGCATTTCCTGTGTCCCCACAGCAGAGCCTTCCCAAGTCACCTTCCAATTTTGGTGAAAACCTGTCCCGTGGTTTTGTGCCCCACATGCCTTACTTTTATTTTATTTATTTATTTATTTTTGGTTGCACTGGGTCTCCGTTGCTGTGCGCGGGCTTTCTCTAGTTGCGGCGAGCGGGAGCTACTCTTCGTTGCGGTGCACAGGCTTCTCATTGTGGTGGCTTCTCTTGTTGCGGAGCACGGGCTCTAGGCACGCGAGCTTCAGTAGTTGTGGCTCGTGGGCTCAGTAGTTGTGGCTCACGGGCTCTAGAGCGCAGGCTCAGTAGTTGTGGCACACAGGCTTAGTTGGTCTGTGGCATGTGGGATCTTCCTGGACCAGGGCTCGAACCTGTGTCCCCTGCATTGGCAAGCGGATTCTTAACCACTGTGCCACCAGGGTAGTCCCTGCTTTACTTTTTTATAACACAATAAATGCAGTTTTTAAAAGATCCCTGTTATGATGGAAGTCACACTGTGGGGACCAGACTCCTGGGCTAGCAGTTGGGAAACCTTGGTTCAGGAACTGCACCCCACTGGGCTACTTTCTCCTTAGTCAGCCCTGGGCCCTGCAGGCTGGACTTGTGTCAGGTGGCCTTGGGATGACTCTCCTCTCTGTGGAGAAAAACGAGCAGGACCCAAGGGCCCCGTGAGCAGATGTGTAAGCTGAGGCCCAGGGGCACAGGAAGGAGGCAGTGGTTCTGCTTACCCAGGATGCCATGGCCGGCGCTGGGCCATACCCACCCCGCATTCTCCAAGCTCAGGATCTGGCCCCTTCCTCCTGGGAGGAGATACCCTCACCTGGATGCCCCGAGCTCTATCCCCAACACCCTCCTTAGTGACCAGCTTGGAAGCAAGGGAGCTGGGAGCCCCCAACTCCCACCCTGGCCTGAAGAAGCCTCCCAGAGGTGGGGCCCCCCTGGCAACCCTCTGTGTGACCTTGGCCAGTACCAGAGCTTCTCAGGAGGCCGTCTAACAGGGCAGAGGGAGGGTTGGTGTCAGGGAGGGGGACACGCGAATGAAGAAGGGGGAAGATGGTTTTGGAATCCACCGGGTTCTGGGAAGCAGTGGGCGTACCCACCACTCCCAGCCCAGCTGCCAGGCCAAATTCCGAGGCCAGGGGTTGCTCCTGGGGAAAGGAATCCGGCCGGTTGGGATTCCTGCGCCCCTCTGCTGTCGGTGAGAGGGCGCTGCGCCGAGGGTCAGGTGGGGGGCGTCTGGGGGCGCCCCAGACGTGCCTCTGCGGCAGGGTCTCAGGGGGGCGTCCCAGCTGGGCCGCTGGGCCTCCCTGCTCTACAAGCCCCCTTCCCGCGCTTGGGACCCGGTGGGAGCTGCTCCGGTGTTCGTTCAGGAGAGCTAAAGCCTTTTCCGGTTTCCTCCGACAGGCTTGATGAAGCCGCTTTTGCAATTAGAGCTTTTATTAACACGATAACAGCAAGGCACCGCCTGAAGCTGTGGCGCCAGCCTGGCCGGGGGAGGGTGCGGGGGAGGGCTCTTGGGCCGAGAGCAGCTCGAGACTTGGGACAGAACAAAGGTTCCGGTTCCCCGAAGGCACGAGTGATCCTGGTAGCAGCGATGGGTCAGCAGATCCTCCCAGGAAGCCAGGCCTCCAGACTGAGGCCAAGGACCCGCACAGCTCTCCCCCAAAGCCCCACACCACTGGCCCTCCTGCCGTGAGACTCCTCACCCTCTCTTGGGCTGGCCGCTGTGTCTACCGACCCCTCGGTCCATCTTCCTCTTTCAGTGGCTGCGCCGTGAATGAATGGTCTGGGATTCCCAAGGCAGTGGGAACAATTTGAGTCGCTACCTCATATGGTTGTTAGAGGATTAAATGAGTGAATAGTTACAAAGAGCTTCCAGCCGA